GCTGCCTCAATTTTCTCACTACTATTCAATTCCCATGGTGCTTTCTCCTTTTAATGGGGAAAAAAAAGGCCAAAACATAAATGAATATGCAAGCAAAACTATAATTCTGTTTCCCATTTCTCTAAGAAATAAGATTCCTTCATAATCAATAGAATGAAGCCGAAATCTATATTTCCTCAGTGGAAAATAAGCAAATGCTACCTTAATAAAGTCGACCATGTCAACTTCATAGACAACACTAGACCCCGGGGGAACAGTAGCCAAATCAAATCTTGCTTCAATGCTTCCAAATGCATAATCAGGATGTATACTTACAATGGCCTTCTCACCCTTCTTCATTGTAGCTACTGCTCGATCTAGACCAACAATGACTTGTTCTACAGGAAGTAACGTACAAAAAATAGTATAATTGCTTCTTAGATGCCTCAAACTATAAATCAATGAAGGAAAAAGCAAAGTTAAGCAACAGCAGGGATAAACATGCCTTCATCAGTTATGAATTCCAAGGGCTTTGTTTCATCAATGCCTTTCTTCTCAAATATTGGGCCATCTTCCACCTTAGCTACATAACTAACTGCATGGTAATCAAACCGTGGATCAAGAAATGATTGAGATGTGCAACGAAAAATAGCTCAAATTATATCATATAACTTGCATATACCATTAAAAGGATACGGGTAAAAGGGAAAAATGTACTCATACTTATCAGTTGCATACTCAAAATCAGCTAATATTGTTCACCACATCACGATTAAGAGGTGATTCTTTGTTGTGAGCCAAGAAAAGAAAGTAAGTATCATAAATTTCCCATCCTTAATCTTCTAGTTTCTAACACAAAGTATCGGGTCTGTTTTGTGTTGTATCAGTGTTTATCTGGTGAGACATAAACTACGATATTTAATATATTTAAATACTACATTTCATAGAAGCATATGATGCATTGCCAGACACATATCTATTCAGTTGCTCCTTGAGTGCGGCTTTTGCCTTTGACAACAATACCTTCAATAATATGTGAGTAATTTAAAATTTTCCCCAGATCTAATAGAAATTTGTGGATGATTATCCGTCAAAGACATAAAGTGGCACTGAATCTGTGAATGTTATAGATGAAATTTTGTTACAGACTATTAATGGATAGAAGAGATATGACTTGCATGATTTATGAGTTACATCATTCTCAGTTCACTTTCTAACTTCACAAAAAGAGTAACATTACAGAGCAGATCTAACAGGTGCTTTTCTGAGTCCTTATATACTGATGCTGCTGATGTTACAAGTCTTATTAAAGCTTGTCAGGTAAGATAACACATAAAATTAGCACTTGTTCAGTTTAAATAATGAATTGGTCATCATTTTCTTACTCGTAACAATGGCACCCTCATTGGCTGTTAGGGAGCCTTCCCCTTCTCTTAGTATCTTCTTCAGAACTTTGGAGTCTCCAGTAACATTAATGACAGGTTTGAAGGACACCAATTCAATATCGACATGCAATACTGAATTTGGCGGGATTGAATCCAGCCTGCTTTCTGCTTCTCCCCCCTTATCTCCAAAGGCATCTGCAGTAAACAAAAATATCACAATTTCAAAGTTCAAAATAATATCAGACATTGGACCACATGATCCCCAAAGCTGAGGAAGACAACAGAAATTAAAAACCGGCATCCACATATAGAATAGCTGATGAAGCTGTAACAATCACCGAGATTAAGAGGATTTGAAAATGGAACCTTAACTCACAAACATAGCTATGCCTAGATCAGTCTTAACTTTCATTTGTCAATTCATCATTTGGCTTCTCATGACGGATACATATGAATTCCTGGTCCCATGAGCCGACTTCTTTTAGTCAGACCAATTATTTCATTGAAATCAAAGTGCTATAAGAGTTAATACTGGCCAAGGTTCTTCCATCCCAACAAGACTCAAGACAGTAAATACATGAACATACAACACAGAACTGTTCGGAGGACAAACAGAAGTACAGAACAGAAGACATACACTGAGGTTGAACAATTAACTTCGCCTTCTCCCCCCTCTCCATAGTCATAATTACTTTTGGTAATCCTGGAAACAGATGACCTTCAAGAAGTATGATAATGGTCAGACACATGGTAAGAAGATAGACTCAATTTTCTTCCCGAGAAGGAAAACAAGTGTACAGATACCATCATCCATACGGAATTCAAATCCCTCTTCTGATGTCTCTGCAACAGTAGTGCCGTCAATTAATGTCACCCGGTACTTCACTGCAACAGTAAAAGAATCAGAAATTATTGAACCAGCCCCGAAAAAAAGTTAAAACCGACCAAAAGAGATACAGGAAGTCAGCAAAAGAAAACACTGGATGGATACAAATCATCTAACTGATATGTTCAACAGAAAGGGAAGTAAAAAATATATGCGGTGTCACAATACCTAGAACTTCATCTAGATCACAGGGTCTCTCATTCCTGTTTCCCTTCTCCATAATTTTCTTGATAATCCCGCCATCTTTGCAAACATCAACCACTTTGATCCACGAAATGAGTTCAACCTCAAACTGGACAACTGAGTTGGGTGGAATACTTCCGGAATTCCCAACTTCATTGCTTGACTCAGCAGGCAATGTGAATAATGCGACCTCTCCCATTTTCATGGTGATAATCCCGTGATCTAACCCAGCAGCCACTTGAGCTGCCAAGCCCATCAAGGCATCAATATATGAGCAACCCAAGAATCAAACAGCCCCTTAAAAATTATATCATGCATTTCTAAAAGCAACTCCAGGTCAAATGTCAACCAGAGGTCTGAAACTCACCTTGACCGACTGTAAATCTAACAGGTTCACCCCTATCTCTGGTGGAATCGAACTTTGTCCCGTCAAGCAAAGTCCCCACGTAGTGAACTGCATTCAGTAACACCATCGTTGTCCTTATATTTTACGAGATGAACAGTGTCTACGTCTCATCTAGTTTGCCAAAAAAACTGCATTTTACGTTGTTTGTATCATTGTCTTTCAGTATAAAGCAAAATGTCAGAGAGATGAGTACCGGTTACTTCGTCATTGAATTCAGGGGTCTCCCACCCACGCCCGCACTTGAGAAGTTTCTTCTTGAGGCGGGAGTTATTCAGTTCTCTCACTTCACCAACCTTCTGCGGAGGCGCCGATTCGATCACTTCCCCGGGTTCTTCGTCGAGGTCATCCTCGTCCTCAAAGTCCGACACGTCCGTGGCTTTCTCAGCCACCATGGCTTCACCCGCCGATCAGTCGCCCACGACAGCAAACGGCAACTAACACAGCCCCTATTCTTCCACGGGAGTCCTGAAAGTATGCCCAAAAGCGTGGATGTGTCCGAAGCTCTGTGGCGGGACCGTCACTGTGCAAGATATATATCCCGTTCCGGTGAAGCGCTCCGTATATGCCACTGAGGCACTGGGGGAACCATCTCGGTGCCTTGTGGGTAATATTGTCGTTTTACCCGGTAACCAAGGATATTTAAGTAATTTCGATGTAGTTTTCTTTTCATTTCCATTAAATTATTAGATTTACAGTACTCCACGAAAATACACTAATAGCCAAAAAAAATTTTCTTAATATTGGCTACTTTGTCGTTCATTTACAAGGCCTTTATTGCCGTGATTCAGCCCATTGAAGGCTTCATAGTGCGGGCCTCATTATATTCTGGAAATGATGCATCGGAGACAAAAAAAAGTATTTGGATTATTGAAAAATTACGTTTTAAAAGTTTTTTTTTTTTTTTTTTATATTATAAAAATATTTTTAAAACCATAATTTTGTTTCTACTCATCAGATATCTCCAAAAACAGAGCTAGACTGACTCCAACAAAAAAGAATATCCAATTACTCTCTTAAACCAGTTTTGATGATCACTATAATAAAATTTATACCATTTAAATATAGTTTTGATGGTTTAAATTTAAGAGGCTAATATCCTCCTAACAATATTTTTCTTCATATATACCACTCTAAAAATCGAATTTAGAATATGATGTTTACAGTGCCGAAATCTTTTCGGCTTGGACTAAAATTTATTTGTTATATATGGCCTGTTTATATGTATGAATACATAAGTAATGTTTTATTCTATGCGCAGAGTCTTAGAGTGATGCTATGAATTGGGCCCACGCAGGCCGCAGCACTTGAGGAAGCACGTGGAGAGGGTAGGACGAAAGGTGAAGGCTCATGATCAAGCTACCCGACGGACAAAAATTTGTTCAGTTGATAAGAAGGCGGCACATAACCCATAAAATCGTGAATTCACATCCTGTTACTGATGTAAAGATCTTATTAATAGACGATTTATAAATATTTTTGTAAATGCTCTCTAAGTCTGTAGATATATCCTAACTCTAATAAGACTTAGAACCTAACTCAACTAAATGTTTTTGGGGGTGGGGGTGGGAATCAAGTTACCCCGCGCGTATGGCATCGAAAAGTAAAGGATGCCCTAAGGAGACGTTTACCTGCTCAGGCAATGTGTTTTCTTGACTGACGGGTGTGACTGACTGATGACACTCCAATTAAACATTATTATCACAATTTTTCATAAAAAAAACTTCTTAATAATTCAGACTGAATCCACAGTATCTGTTAATACGGCTCCATCAAATAGCTTCCTGTTCTCTTTTCTTTACATCAACTGGGGCAGCTGGGATGAGCCTCAAGCAATGCATTTCGTCAGCATTTTATTAATCATTTGTCCTCACTTACTTTTTAATTAATCGGTTTCCATGTAGCCATTGATTGAACTTGTGACGCACTCATTCCCCTTTTTACAGCAAATGATCACTCTCCTAATTTTGATGAACAATTTTAAAATGTGCCACTTCATCCCTATTCGGATTTCTTACATATAAAATTCTCAACAGGACCGACATTAACGGGCGGCTTCTTAGGCCTAATTCCCAAATGCCACGACCGATCAAATTCACTTCTTCCAGATTGACAAATAAATCTACATTGTGTACTGTGCAACTGTTGTCGTTATTACAGTTTGTTTCACCTGCGCAGTTCATGTTTATATTAATGTTACTCCCAATTCTGGGCAGGCACACCGAGATCGATCTAGCTCCATATTTACTGAATTATAAAAACCACCCAAAAAGAGAACACAACAATGGTAGTGCTATGGTTATACTTAAAACAGGAAGATAAACTCGAGCAACCCAGTTAGCAAATCTAACAGCCATTAAAAAGGAACAAGCTTTTGTCTGGGAGAAGCAAAAGGGGGATTTCAGAAAACAGCAACGGCTGTCCTTGTAACAGCGTAGCTTCTACTTCTTGGGTACAAGTCAGGAACAGCAGGAAGAGGCGTGTCTCCAAAATCACAGGGACTGTCTTCGTCAATCTTACCCATCCCAGCACTCACAGACTTGGGCAAAACTTTAGACGCCTCCTTTTTTTTCAGAACTAAATCCATGTCCAATTTCTCCATCAACGTCCTATCAGAAGCTGCTCTCATTAGCTCTGCAAAATCCTCCCGGTCGTCCAGCTTCGTCGTGGCCGCACTGTAGCTTCTTGGCAAAGCTTCGAACCGTCCGGCAACATCCATGGGGTTGCTGTAGTTCATGCTGTTGCCGCAGTTGGTGATGCTTCTGATGTAAAAGTCCTTCGCTTTCCCCAGAACTCTCAAAGGCGAAGTAATTATCCTCACCACCATGTTCTGGCTTTGTCTCTGCTTGTTCTTCATCCTCTCTCTATATATTGCTGCCCCGGGAAGATTAAGGAACGAGAAAAAAATCCTATCAAAAGCTCGCAGGTGAATGATATTTGCAGAAAATATGAGGGGCCAGATGATAAGAAAGTGATTTTGATGCTAGTGGGTGGAGGAGGAGTAGTGGGAGAGGGAAGAGGGTATAAAAGTGAAGCTCCTCATGGACTTTTTCAGACAAGCCCTGATTAAATTAATCAGCGAAATTAAAGATAAGAATGGATCCTTGGGGCTTTTTAATAATTTGGCTGATTAAACGGACTGTTTCACTACTCTCACAAGTTTCAACTCAGTTTGTGACTTGTTCTAATAAATGTACAATAATAATGATCCTCACTCGGTCGTCCCGACCGGCTTTGTGTTGTGACTTCTACTTTTTGTTTCCCTCTGGCGGTGAATGAAACGTGATGTACGTAACTACTTATTGGTCAATCTCCTTCTCAACCAATTCTAACTCTGAATAATGCGGTTTAAAATAGGAGCCACGTCCTACGTGATGACACAGAAATAGGGGAACCAATTATTACGGCGACAAAAAGATGAAATTATAAAAGTCGGAGATGGCGTGTTTATAATTAAATATGCCAATTTGTAACTAATTAGCCCATATATATTTATATTGTGTTGAGTTTTACTTAGTCCGGAATTCAATTTGCAGAAAAAATTAAAAATACAAATTCGACTCTGTTCTGGTCCAACCAAAAAGGTTGACAGCGTCTTTTTCGTTCTTTTAATTTAACTTAAATTGAAAGCATAATTATTTATTCATCCGTATAAAATAGTTGTTATTGAAAACGGATCGGATATATTTTTTTTATAAAAACAAATTCAAATAAATTTCTCATTAAATGCGTGACTAAATTGAATTGGGCCATACGTACTATCCCTTAAATTAGTCTGAAATTTCACCAGGTCAATTTAGTTGGGTCGAACCGAGTTTACCCTTACGTGGAAACATTTGCGTAGCAAGGGACAGTTCAAACGCTACCTTAAAAAAACAACAACAATAATAATACTACTTCCTGTTCTTAATATAAGACTTCATTTAATTTTTATTTTGATTCTAAATATAAGACTCAAATCTACTTTGTCTCTAATATTTATGTATTTTTTTCAAGATAATCCTTCTAACAATGGTAGTTCTAGCCAATACACTTAATTAGCAAAGATATTTTATGAAATACAACATCTATTTATGACAAATAATTAATTTAACTTTTTTTTTAATCTCCTCGAATTAATCAACTAATTCTTATAATTAGGACCGTAGGTAGTAATAAAGATTAAGAGGTGATGTTGAGATCGGAATAGTTAGTTTAATTGATTATTTTTTTGATGACGATCAATAGGTATTGTGATTGAGTTATTCTACCTACACATCAAGATTCTAGCATTATTTAAAGGAAATAAGAAAAATGATCCCCTCGACCGGCTGATGTCAAAAAAGCTGATCATTCAATACTTAAGAAACATGGTAAACATGCCGTTGGAATGTTTCCGTATAAATGATTAATTATTGGCGTGGCTGTGGTAAGAACAATTAATCTATCTACTCCTCCGGTTCTAAATATAAAACCCTAGTGTGTATAAGGATTTTATATTTAAGACTGAGTATAATAAACTCCATGGAATTACTCATATTTCATCGATCTTTGGGAATGGTTCAGATGATATTTGCATACTGTTTTGTGTTTCAGTGACAGTGCAAACGTATTTTATGTTATATTCAGATTAGATTTTGAAAGCTTCAAAGCTATGATTTTGTTGGCTTTTAATATGAAACTAAACATGTTCTTGACTAGTCGAAGTCATCCAAAGGCTTTTAGAGACTAGGGTGGGAAAGGTAATTTTAAAGGCAAGAACCCATACAGATTGCTGTCACAGTGTTATTATTTGATGAACAGTTATAGATCGAGGACAATCCATGGGAAATTTCAGTTGAAGATAAAATATACACTTTCTCCCGTCTTCGATATATGTTCTTTTTCTTTTTTTTTTCCTCCACCATAAATATAAAAAGCATCTTCCTCTTTAGTTCGTGCCAAGTTGCTCCAAATAATACAAAATCATAGTGGAAAGAGAGCTATATATCTTGAAAATGAAATAGTGGGTTTGAAGAAAAAAAAGGTCATGACCACATTTTGTCCTTAATATAAAAATTAGTTGAAAATTCAAATTAGTCATAAATATAAGATCCTAATTTACATTATCTCCTATATTTATTCATTTTATTTCAAATAATCTTTATAATAATTGTATATGTTAAACAGTTCGGAGTACTTTCAATGTATATAATTAATAAAAATATTTAAAAAATAATATATATTTATTATAAATAACAAACTTAATTTAATATTATTGGATGCATCATATTGAATGTCAGCTGCTAACTGCTTCTTGTTGGGAGCACGCATTAGCATACCGCTCTCCAGGCCAGCTGGCTCCCCTCACAAATAATTATGACCAACACAGACACACGGCATTATTTATATGTTGAGTATATCAGATTGATAGAAAGCTTTCTCGTGCTGGCAACAGATAGTAGATTTTTTTGGGGCTGGATAAAAGTCGTATGGTCGCGTGAACAAGCCGAGAGAGAAAAAATGTCGGCGATCACATTTTGTAGTAATCCTGTTTTGCGGTGTAAAAAAGTGCTTTCTTTTGAATCACTTTTCTCCGGAGCACAGCGAGGACTAAATTCATTTTAGAAAACATCGAATTAGTCGATGCTTATTTACATTGACCGCGTATCATTATTTATTACGGTTATTTGGAGTTCCTGATGATGATCCTCCTTTATTAAAAATCATTTGACAATTTTATCGGGTCAATTAGGAACTCCATAACATGTCCATTCCCAGGTGAAATCGCCCGCAGTTTAATTGCCTTATATATATATTGATGAATTAGTCCATACAGGTCTAATCAGGTCATGCGCTTTATATTTTAGCCAACTATTGGTCAACATAAAAATTAGCCAACCAAACAGGAATAACCTTCATCACGAGGGACAAAGGTCAGTGTACACTGATCATAGTAAAAAATGGTTATGATTCGTTAAATGCAGGCTCTGAATTTTGAGCTTTTTGGGGGGCATGTTCAAATTTGCCCGAATAACAAACGCAATATATGTTTTGAGCTTGATGCACAGACATCAGTCTCACGCAAAATGATATTATGTGTGTTTGGATCCACAATTGGATCCAAAATACGTGGCTTTTATAGTGTCGAACATGTTTGGGTTTTGATTGTTCTGTTTGACGAAATTTTTGGTCCATATGATTTAACGGCTAAAAGTTGGTTTGAATCTGACATTTTTAAAAGCTGCTTCTTCCTTACTTATGCTTGTATTAGAGTATGTTTGGATTAGCGGTGGAGAAGTAACTTTTTTTCAATCTGATTTTACAGAAATCAGATTGGATAAAAACAGCTTTTTTGAACTTATTGTATAAGTCCGTTTTAGTCACAGATTGCAAAAATATGATTCCAAACACATCCCAAATAAAAAAAAACTCCTTTTACCAATAGAGAAGTCATTTTGAAGGTCCATAATTCCAAACACACCCTTAATCGTGTCTATTGCACAGCGCTAACACTCTGCTTCGCCCCTCAACGTCCGTCCTCTCCACAGTCCACCATCACCATCAACATGTACGGGAAAGGTATATGGTCATTTTTTTATTTAATAAAAATCAAACCCATTTTCTTAATTTTACAAATTAAATTTATTTTTATTCAATTATAATCTAAATAACTTTTTATCTAATTTAACTTTTATAAACTAACTTCTATAAAATTCAATCCAGACATAAATTACATTACCCAATTTAATTTTTATTCAATTAAGTCAGGTTACCATTAATTACAGCGTTATATTTTTTGAGCAAGACATTTTGAGCTTGATCGAGCAAATGTTGTTAATTTACAAATGTGAAATATAATTTTGTAGCAAAATACTTATTCGCATGCGGCATTTTGGGGTAATAGAGACAGCCGACGCACATTAATTCGAAAAAATAGAGACAATGACAAGCAACGAAGTGGACTAACTGCACCTAATCAATATAAATATGGCCGGGAAAAAAGAAAGATTTGTGGAAGATGCCGTATGGATTGGGGGATAATCACAAGTATAGGCTGGTCAAAAAAGGAAATCACAACTATAGGCATGTCCTTTTCCAATAATCCCATTTAAGGCATTATCAGGTAAATGTGGACACTTCTTTCAATAGGGATTCGAACATGTAAAGAATTAGTCAGGTTTTCAATAATCCTATTTAAAACGCTATCAGGTATTAAACGTGGACATCTCTTTCGAACATGTAAAGATTAGTCAAGTTCGCTACTTGCTTTCTGACTCCCTGTCATCTATGACTGTGCTGTTATTCTTGATTTTGTTTTGTGAGGGGATGTTTGGGGCTGGGCTGGGCTGAATAGAAGTGAAATCAGGTGTAAGGAATATGATCCACTCATGGTTTCGCCCGGAGTCTCAGAGGCCCAGCCTGATCCCCCCTTCACCTGCATTGACGGATTGATCCTCCCATGCCATTGGGCCCCTTATGTCCATAACCATTCCCCTGTTTGATATTTGATACTCATCCGTTGTGGGGTTGGGTTAGTTTTGGGATTTGAGTGGCGAGTCCGCCTTTTTTCACTTCTACTCGAAAGAAGGAGCCAGCCAGCCCTCGTGCACTGCCCAACCCTTTGTTGGTTCTTTTATAAATTTGCCTTCCACGTCTGGGTTCATCGCTTTTCTGCCTCTAATTTTGTGCCCACTCCTTTTCTCCTTTTTAGTTTTTACTATTTTATTCCCCAAACCAAACTATTCCCTCACTTATTTTAACTTTCTCTCTCATCCCACCCCCCGCCCAAAACAAAAAGCAATTAAATCTGGAATTTTGTCCTAAGCGCAATTTTTCCCCTTGGGCAATTTGGACATTTAACATTAAAATCTTTGAAGCAACTAGTTCCTTAAAACGAATCCAGACCCTTTTTAGAAAGAAAAAAAAAATTAAAATGAGGAGTTTTCAGCAATTTTTTCTGAATTCAATAATCTTACAAGTTAAAATAGGAGAACGATGCTGTATTACTTCTCCATTCACTCAAATTGAGTACTGCATATTACAGATTCCTCACGGCTGCGTTTAGCATGAAATTTTGGTTCTCAAAAAGGGAGAACAGAGGGAGGTGACCTTGTGGGGTTGGACCAAAA